GTTTGCTTTATTGAACTGGGAAGATAAGTTAAAACACAGAGCAGTAGAGAAACAGCTACACTCATTTAAGGAGATATTTCATAATTCTCAGCAGAGATATATTCCAGCAACTTTTTAGCCATCTGCCTCAAATAACCCTTTTGATCTATGTTACGATCATTAGATTCCAAAGTGTTCAAAGATGCATTCGTTGTCTATCTCTCAAAAGGACAGGGAAGTAAATTTTAATTCTTTCATGAATCTGTTTTTCACTGTTGGAAAGATCGTTGCTGAATGATCCTTAAACATTCAACACATTCCTGAAAACAATCTTAGTCAATTCTGGGTTGAAAAGAGGAGATGCACAACTGGTAGGATTTAGGCAGAAAGATCTGGATAGCAAATGGGTAACTCTCCCACTTTTGTTATCAGGTCAAAACATAGTAGGAAAACAAAACAAAAAAACAACAAAAAAAAAAGAAAATCAAATTTGCCCAGAATCGAATTTGGGTGTTCAAACAAATTGAACAAAACGGTCACACCACAATGTAATGATGGCTTGAATAAAATATTGCATCCCATTTCTCCAGCATTCAAGTGACTACACAAAACAGACATTAGCTAGTAAATGCTGATTGGTCCAATGCTTGCTTTAGCACACACCATCCAGAGAAAAACCTGATTGCCCAGAATGAAGGTCATCTCCAAAAGGGACAATTTAGTTTACTGTTTAAAAAACTAGACCCTTCTTGGGTCTAGACCCGAAACGTCAGCGTTCCTGCTCGGCCTGCTGTGTTCATCCAGCTCTACACCTTGTTATCTCAGTACCTCTTGGCTGCTTGTTTGTTTCTGGCCTAGGACTTACATTGACCTCCATAAAATAGGTTATTATGCAGACAAGTCATACACCATGAATTTCCAACCCTTTTATCTGTGAAATTCCTTTAGCAACATACCACCTGGCTCTCTAAAACTAGGCTACCATTTGTCTTCCTAAATTTGCTTGATTTAGCTGAGCATTTATGCAGTTGTTTCCTGGGCTAGGAAAACATTTGCATCCTCTGAAAAATGGAGAAATTCAAGCTCTTCCTTTCCATATTAATCCAGCCCACATACGTTAGTATTTCCTTTGCCAAAATGGTGTACAAAATTATCCTAGCAATAATCCAACTCTGTGGGAGATCAAAATTGTTTTGTAACGACAAGTGGAGCATATAATACAAATTTATTCTGCCAAGATGCATTTGGGTTGAAGCTGTGCTTTCTCTAACAGGTCACAAACTCTGAACTACATAAATAAGTTAGCAGCCAGTGCAGTGTGGAAATATGCAAATTGTCTGAGTTTGTAAATTTTTGATTGCAGCATGGAAACTTAATTCACCAATAGCAAATGCCTGTAATTGTCTTTTTAAATATGTCTGTCTATCACTTGAAATGCAGATGGCAACCAACAGCACTAAGGTTTTGAAAGGAAATCAGTTACAATTATGTCAAAGAACTTTTTGACTTCTGAAAAGATGCACATTTTTCCAGGTAAAAATACCATAATTACCAGGTTCTTGCTTAAATTAACAGACCGCAAAACAAACAACTGAAATCAAGTTTAAGATGTAGATCTCAAAATGTAGACCAAATTCATCAGACAACAGACCCTTCAAATGGATTAGAGTAAATCATACATTTTCAAACACTTTCCATACCTGATTGCTCTATTATCTGTCCCTCAATGGTCACCACTCTCCAGCGCTTGTCCTTCTGGAATGCGACGCGTGTTGCCTGTTCTAGATCCTTAGCAACAAGTGTGTCACGAAGTGCAAAGTAAAATGCAGGACGAATAGCCGCATCCTTTATTTTGACCATATCAAAGAGACGGGGAACTTTTTCTGGAGTTTGGATCTTGCCCATGTTTCTCTCCCAAACTTTCATCTTGAGAGCATTTAAAAAAGAAGTCATCTGACTGCAACAATGGCAAAGTTCAAATAATTGTTAAAATAATCAAAATAAATTTATGACTGTAATTTACACCATTCAGCATACCTTATCTAAGCAAATAAAAGTTGCTACTCCAATATTTTGTTTCTTCAGAAATTTAACACATTCTTGAGCAGTATCAATTGTGTCCACAACAATGTTATCCAGGGCACCACAACTGGAGGAAATGGCAACATCATACTTTTCCTCAATAGCACCCAAATCACCCTAAAACAATACAAACATTTCACATTAAAATCATACAAGTCAATCCCCCAAAGAACAAGATTGGGTTCTTTTGCAAATACTGGAAACAAAATCTCCTTACTAGTCTTCCATAGATTCCAGGAATTTTACCAGTATTCTTCTGTTGCATGACTGCCTCCAAAACTCTACCCCGGCTGCGATTTACTGTAAGGGAACTCTTTGCTTCTTCAACTTTTTGTCGTAGTTCGTAAACATTATTTCTGATTTGAGCTTCAGACTGGATTATTTTTTCAAGTTCCTTTTCATCCTAGAAAGGATAGAAAGCACTTGCTTATTTTCAATTCAGAAAGGTACTATCCTCCAAGATTATATAGCAGTTATATAGCTATTACTTCAAAAGAAAATTCTTCTTTTCGCGCCAAGTACTTTGGAACTTTTCA